CGAACTCGAGCTCAAGCAGTCCACCCATGTTGGCCTCCCAGAGTGCTAGGATTACAGGCATAAGCCATGGTGCCCCATCCATATTGTTTTTTAAAATAACTTTTACAGCAAGGTACTAGAAATTTATAATTTTTCTTAGTTTTTTTCTTAAGACTATAAAATTTATCTTTTAATTGTATTACCATTTGTGGCACATGTACCAAGAAAGTTTAATAACTCAGATCATAAAGTTTTTGAAGGGAAAAGACAAAATACCCACTTTGGATGTTTAGGGAATTCTGTGAATTGCAAAGCTTGAAAGGGAAGAATTTTTCCCCCTTTGTATTTATAGGGACCCTTATAAACTATGACTGAGTCTTTGTAAATAGGTCATACCTGTCTCTTCAGCCATTTTGTGCTTTGTTATCATTTATTTATTTATTTATTTATTTATTTTGAGACAGTTGCACTCTGTTGCCCTGGGTGCCATGGTGTCTTCATAGCTCACAGCAGCCTCAGTCTTTTAGGTTCAAGTGATCCTCCTGCCTCAGCCTGCCCAGTAGCTATGACTATATGTGCCTGCAGCAACGCCCAGCTAGTTTTTCTGTTTTTAGTAGAAATAGAGTCTTGCTTTTGCTCAGCTTGGTCTCAAACTCCTGAGCTCCAACAGTCCACCCACCTCAGCCGTCTCTGAGTGTTGGGTTTATAGGCATGAGCTACCACACCCAGCTTTAGCCATTTTGTGACTTTGAAAACTTCAGATAGGAAACTAGGAAATTTGAAATAGCAACATAGTGATAAGGAGTTTAGGTATCAGAGTGTTTCTGGTAATTTTTTTTTTCTTTTTTGCAGTTTTTGGCTGGGGCTGGGTTTGAACACTCCACCTCTGGCATATGGGGCCAGCACCCTACCCCTTTGAGCCATAGGCGCCACCTTGTTTCTGGTAATCTCAAAAACTAGGTCATAGTACTTGAGAAATGTATGGCATGTGATACAGTAGATTTTAGGAATGTGATGGCCTAGATAATCTACAGTACTGAAGCAATATAGTTAGCTTGCCTCACTTTCTCTAGAGTTCAGGTTCAAGTTCTGGCCACAAAACAGTATGCAAAATATATGCTGCTTAGGTCCGTCAGACCACCTCATTTTATCTTGAATTCATAAGCTATAATTAATAGTATAATTTGGTCACTGGTGATTATGACTCATTTCTGATAACCTAAGCAATTTGTAAGAGATGATAAATCCTAAGTCAGAATTCAGTCACTGTAGTTTGCTATATAATCTAAGTGCTTAGGGCTTCATGGTAAGCTTATAGAAGCTTAAATACCAGAAATCACATAGAACTCTAGGAATAGTATATGGGTGCTATACAAGTATTCTGTCTGTTTAGTATCCTCCGAGACATGCTTTTCTTGATGGAATCCAGCTCATTTCTGGAAGGGCTTGTCAACGTGTTTGAGAACCCACATTGTGTGGCATGATAAAGAAATGGAAGAGGCCAGGCATGGTGGCTCATGTCTGTAATCCCAGCACTCTGGGAGGCCAAGGCAGGTCTCTTGAGACCAGCCTAAGCAAGAGCAAAACCCCATCTTGAAAGAAAAAAAAAAAATAGCTGGGCATTTTGGCGGCCACCTCAGAGGTGCCCAGCTACTTGGGAGGCTGAGGCAAGAGGATTGCTTGAGCCCAGGAGTTTGAGGTTGCTGTGAGATAAGATGCCACAGCACTCTGGGGAGAAAGAAAGTGAGACTCTGTCTTAAAAAAACAATAATAATAACAAAGAACTGGAAGCCTTTTCTTTCACTATTTACAACCCTTATTCCATTGTAAGTCAGCTTCCTTGCATTGTTAAGTGTTCTAGAAATTATTTCTTTCCCCTTGTAATCAGAACCTGTTGCTCTTACAAGGCATAATCCATATAGAAGAACAGCTAAAGTACTCCCCCAGGCCTCAGGTTTGATGGAGCTGCTAGATGGACTGGACTTCTCCTAGCTCCTCGCCACACTTTGTTCAGACTTCACTTTCTCCCCTTTCTCCTTTAATGCTTATAGTCATCCAGCTTCCTACCCTAAATGAAATATCTGCCTTTATTTCTTATCTGAGCTCCAGATCTGTATTTTGTCTATTACAATCTCTCCACCTGGATATTCCATCAGCATTCACATGCAGGCCTTCCAGAATAGAATTCTTTATCCCTTCCCTTTCTGCATTTTATTCCTAGTGTATGATCTAGCCTGCAGACAGTAGACATTTAAAAACGATGGATCTGCCTGCACCTTCCTGGATGAAGGAATAATATTTTCCCCTGAAAATCCTTATTCTGTAGTTTATTTTGTCATATTTATTAAACAGTGTGAAATTTTGGCTTTCTTTCTAAAAGCTTGCAGATATAAATACATGAGCTGTAGATAAGAACACTAGTCAATTAACTTTGAGCTGTTCTCAAAGTGAAGTAGCAAATCAGAAACATAACAAATAAAAACTTTAGGCCTCTAAAACTTGAATTAGTCTCTAGATAGTCATAACCAATTCCTGAAAAGTCAGAATCAGTTTATGTTCAGGGCTAGAATCTCACGTAAGGTCTCTGTGTGGGTGTGGATAAATACAAATATTGATAAATTATACTATTCATATTGGATAATGAATGTCTCTTAGAATAGTCTTTCAAAGAGCATCACCTAGTTCAGTGAATGAGATGTAATAAATATGCAGTAACATTGGGGCAAACGCTTTCAGTTCACCGTCATTCAGACACAGTCACCTTTCTCCACCAGAACAAGAGCTACGTAATTGTTCAGTTGACTTCCACCGAGAAAATATCCTTGTTACCTTAGCAAGTACATCTTATTGCCACTCTTGCAGCGGCTTGAATCAAGAAAGGTTTCTTGATTTGATTTTTAACTGTTTAATTTGACTCTTCTTCTCTGTGAATCTGTATGTGTAATTTATGCATAATACCAGATGTACCAAGGGGGAGTAACAAGTAAGTTTCTTGCTAAATTAAGTGTCGTCTTTTATTAAACAAGTAAGAACCCACTTTGGACTTTGAATTTTGCTAGGCATGCAAAGTGACAAATCACCAGAAGAGAAAGTGAAATTTCTCATTTCATTTATTTATTTTTTGAAACAGATTCCTGCTTTCTCACCTAGAGAAAGAGGACAGTAGTGTCATCATTGCTACTGCAGCCTCAAAGTCCTGGGCTTAAATTAAGCAAGCCCTCTGCCTCAGCTCCCTGAGTAGGGATTACAGGTGCATGCTGCCAGACCCAGCTAATTTTATAATTTTACTAGAGATATGATCTTGCTACATTGTCCAGGCTGATCTTAAACTCCTGGCCTCAAGTAATCCTCCCACATTAGTCTCCCAAAATGCTGGGATTATAGGCATCAATTGCTGTGCCTGGCCTCTTACTTCATTTCTTTTTTAATCAGGTGAACATTTAGTGGCTCTAGTTCCTTGCTAGCTAGCATTAAATGAGGTCATATTCCTTCTGATGTATTAGTCTGTCCTGGGTACTAGAAGGAAAATGAAAGAAGGTACATAAAATCAAATGAAAACAATTCAAACTGTAAGACATCAAACCTGAATGAAAAATTTTTTTTAACAGGCAAAAATATTTCATATTTCGCTTGAAAATCTTTGAAATGATTCTTACAATGAAAATATGAAGGAGACTGCATACTTTTGTACACAAACCATACCTGAAAACATATTTGTAAGAAGATTTCCTCAATTAACTATACTCATTTAACTAACTTGCAAACACAACTTTTGGCTTATCTGGACCTTTGCTGTATTTATATATGTATGTTTGAATTGTTTTAGATGCAGACATATAAATTAATAGTTCTGTTTATTAGATTAACTTAGGGCAGGGTAACTGCTTTCTTAAAAATAAACAACCCTATTGGTGAGATTCAGATTTGGAAAGTTTTGAGATTATTCTAAGAAAATAAAAGAAATTGGGGAAATCTACCCACTCAGAAGATTTTTTTCTGTGTCGCTGCTTGGGAGGAGTTTAATAGCGAAGTTTGAGGCAAGTGATGTAAAAATTGTACTAATGCTGGGTTATGGACTTTTATAGTATCCCATATTCTTCTAAGAAAGAGTTTTGGGACTTTGAATACTAACTGCTTGTCTGTGAAGATGAAACCTGGTTTTATTTTAAGAATTATTCTTAAAATGAAATTTTTCATCAGTCTCCTGCCAATCTGATGATTGATTTATAGCGCTTCCCCATGACCGATGGATTGTACAGGGTAGAGCCTAGAGCTTTAAGGTCACAAAATGTCTTTCAGGAAGGCTGGGTGATTTGTAAAGAAAACCAGCAGTCTAGCAGTTTATTTCTGCTGTAGGCAAATTAAAGTTATTATCTGGAGTGTGAATAAAATAGAATTATTTGGACTGTGAATCACCCAGATCACTCTAGGTCAGAGTTTTCAAAATAAGTGGATTGGAAAATCAAGATCTGATTAGGGCTGTTAGGACCAGCCAGATAAGAACCCCCCAGATGTACCTCTTATGTTTAGATCCAAAATTGTCCTGTGTTTGTCATTCATTTGTGTGTACCGTCTGTCTACTAAGAAAACAGGACAGAAACAGATGAAGGAGGGGAAATGTTCCATGGTGGCTGTTCCTGAGAGTGGAATATCCATACCCAGGGAGTTGTGCAACATGTTTCATTGGCGTTTTGGAAAAAAGTATTGGGAATAGCTACTTAAATTTACTTTTATCTGTGACACTTTCTATTTTGTGGCTGTTTTATAGTGTATGCATTTTATATATACTATATAGTATACAAAAATTTATTTTAAATGTATTTTATATTATACGTTATATACGTACGTTACTAACCTGATGATTTTACTGATAGATATTTTAAATAACTGAAGAGGTAAAAATGTGGCCTCTATATTTATCTTAATACCATTTCTGATGTCCTTTATTCCTGAAGATCCAAGTTTCCCTTTGGTTTCATTTCCTCTTCGACTTGAAGAACTTCTATTAGTATTTTTATAGAGTAGATTTTTCTTACAAGAAATTTTCCATTTTTTTTTTTTTTT